AGCGCGAGGTTGAGTCTGGTACATGCGTGGGCGACTATCTGGCCTGGGACGGCGCAAGCTGGGTTTCTGGTGGGGATAAAGTACGCATCGCCTGCGGGGCCGGGGAGACGCAGCAGGGCGTGAATGCCGTGGCTATAGGCAAGAATGCCGGCAATTCACAACAGGGAGAAAGAACTGTGGCAATTGGGAATGAAGCCGGGATGACACAGCAGGCGGGGAGTGCCCTGGCCATTGGGAATGGTGCGGGTAAAACCGACCAGGGTATCCTTGGTGTGGCTCTTGGGTCCAGTGCCGGCGGGCTAACCCAAGGGATGAATGGGATTGCAATCGGGAATGGAGCTGGCAATAACACACAGGGCACCTACGGAATTGCATTCGGGTACAGGGCTGGCTACAACACGCAGGGGAAGGAGTCGATTGCCATGGGGACGGAGGCGGGATATACGACACAATCGACGTATTCTGTATGCATGGGCTACAGGGCCGGGAAGACGTCTCAGAGTGGAGCGCCTGTTGCCATAGGTTCAAATGCAGGTGAGACCATACAGGGGCCGAGTGCCGTTGCAATCGGAAATTATACTGCTTATAAGAACCAGGGGACTGATTGTGTAGCCATAAGCAAGCAGGCGGGATTCGACACACAGGGCCAGGGCGCTGTTGCGGTGGGGATCGAATCCGGGTACACCGAACAGGGCAAGCATGCCATAGCGCTGGGTTTCAAGGCGGGTAACAAATACCAGGGCGAGAATGCGTTTGCGGCCGGACAGATGGCAGGAAACACTGAACAGGATGTGATGGCCGTGGGCTTAGGGTATTCAGCCGGCTCTCACTACCAGGGCGACTATTCTGTGGCAATCGGCTACCGTGCAGCGTGGACAACCCAGGGGTCTGAATCGGTGGCTATTGGACGTGATGCCGCATACACTGAGCAGGGGGCGAGTGCCGTGGCAATTGGCTATAGTGCGGGCAAGACGCAACAGGGGATCAGCTCTATAGCCGTGGGGGGTTCCGCCGGTCTCACCAATCAAGGCGGGGGCTCTGTGGCTGTGGGTGATTCGGCGGGCAAGACCAACCAGGGTGTAGACACGGTGGCCATTGGTGCCAACGCTGGTTTGTCTACTCAGGGTGGAGACACGGTGGCCATTGGTGCCAGCGCTGGTCGTACGGTACAGGGTTCGCACAGTGTTGCAATAGGGCACTCGGCGGGGAGAGACATGATGGTGGAGAATAGTATTGCGATCGGGGCGTTTGCAGCTTCGACGGATGCGTCGAACAATTCCATTACGCTGAACGGTACTGGCAAGGCTCTGGCGAACGGGATAGAAGATGCGTTTATCGTGAAACCGGTCCGCAACGCGGCGGGTCCCAATGCGCTGACGTACAACCCCACGACGGGTGAGATTTCGTACACCACATCCTCGTCTCAGACGAAGGAGAACATTGTCGACATGTTTCGCGACGCCCGCGGCATCCTGTGCGACCTGGACGTCAAGGAGTACAGCTATGTCAACAAGTGCAAGTATATCGAGCGCGGCACCCCGGAAGAGGCCAAGCCATTTGCCAATTGGCTGGTCACTGAGAAGGCCGCAGACACGTGGACGTCGAGGCTGGCGGCCCGCGGCGGCTCCGATGCAAGGTACGAGGGCGTTGCCGATGACGACAATCCGTCAATCCGGCAAATGTACGGGGACTACGTTGAAATTACCGAGGTGGTCCCTGAGACATTTGTCGACAAGGAGGAGACGCACTTTGGGTTTATGGCCGAGGACGTGCAAAAGGTGTTGCCGGAGCTCGTATACTGCGACCTGGACGGCACAGCGCAGGATATCAAGTGGAACAACATTACGGCGCTGCTGGTGAAGGAGAACCAGTCGCTTCGCGCCGAGCAAGCCGCTGCACAGACAACAATTTCTTCCGCCCTAACAACAATTGCCGACGCACAGACAACAATTGCCGACCTTGTCCAGCAAACCCAGCAGCTCACAGAGAGGCTGGTGGTTGTGGAAGACCAGCTCGTCAGGGACCAATAGAAATTGTACCATCTACCGGGACCACGCGTTAAGCGGGCGTTGTATCGTGTGCCTGAGCCTACTGTCGCTATTGGACATGTGGCGTTCAATCATACGCATAGGCGACATATTCCTGAGATCTTCACCAAGTAGATTGTGCGCACTCGTCCAGATTATGTGTACAAATGTGTGTGTGTGTGTGTCAGGGTGAAGACACTGTGGTCGTTGGTGCCAGCGCTGGTCGTACGGTACAGGGTTCGCACAGTGTTGCAATAGGGCACTCGGCGGGGAGAGACAGGATGGGGGAGAATAGTATTGCGATCGGGGCGTTTGCAGCTTCGACGGATGCGTCGAAAAATTCTATTACGCTGAATGGTACAGGCGAGGCTCTGGTAAACGGGATAGAAGATGCGTTTATCGTGAAACCGGTCCGCAACGCGGCGGGTCCCAATGCGCTGACGTACAACCCCACGACGGGTGAGATTTCGTACACCACATCCTCGTCTCAAACGAAGGAGAACATTGTCGACATGTCTCGCGACGCCTGCGGCATCCTGTGCGACCTGGACGTCAAGGAGTACAACTATGTCAACAAGTGCAAATATATCGAGCACGGCACTCCGGAAGAGGCCAAGCCATTTGCCAATTGGCTGGCCGCTGAGAAGGCCGCAGACGCGTGGACGTCAAGGCTGGCGGCTAGCGGCGGCTCCGATGCAAAGTACGAGGGTGGTGCCGATGACGACAATCCGTCAATCCGGCAAATGTACAGGGACTACGTTGAAATTACGGAGGTGGTCCCTTACACATTTGTCGACAAGGAGGAGACGCACTTTGGGTTTATGGCCGAGGACGTGCAAAAGGTGTTGCCGGAGCTCGTATACTGCGACTTGGACGGCACAGCGCTGGACATTAAGTGGAACAACATTACGGCGCTGCTGGTCAAGGAGAACCAGTCGCTTCGCGCGGAGCAAGCCGCTGCACAGACAACAATTGCCGACCTTGTTGCGCGAGTTGAGGCGCTCGAGGGAAAATAGGTTGTGCGCGGACGGGTTGGTGCCGCCGCGGTTTGGTGGTGTGGCTTATCAAGAAGAAGAAGAAGAAGAAGAAATCAAAATACTCGAATCATGAAAAGTAGAGACAATCATTCAACTTGTCACAATCGACCATTGTTTAAAATTAAAAAATTACGTTAAACACGCGTCATCATGACTAACAATACGATCTAACAATAGATTACATTCTAAAAGAAAAACAAGAAGGAAAGAAAAAATCGAAAAGGGAATTTTACAAGTACATCTTTAAATTTCATTTTCCAAACCCTAAATACACGTACAAACAAAACCAAAAAATCACACCTATTCAACAATGTCGTGGAGAGTAGGAACTACCAACGTGCGCCTGGGGCGGAACTCTGGTAGCGCAAACCAGGCCGATGATGCGATGGCCATAGGTTGGGGTGCGGGTTCTACCAGCCAGGGGGCGTCGACTGTGGCCATTGGCAAGGATGCCGGTGGAGACACCCAGACCGAAAACGCTGTTGCTATTGGAAAGAACTCGGGGAATGCTAACCAGGGGATATCAGTCGTGGCTGTAGGGCTAGACGCCGGTAATCTGAATCAAGGGAGCAAAAGTGTTGCAATCGGAAACGCGGCGGGGCAAACCGACCAGGGGGGCGTCTCCGTGGCTGTTGGGTATTCTGCCGGGATGACGAACCAGTCCACCACTGCTGTGGCGGTTGGTACATCCTCTGGGTCGACGGACCAGGGGGTGAACTGTGTGGCGGTTGGATACGCTGCAGGAAAGGAGTCCCAGGGTATACATGCCGTGGCTGTAGGGGCAACGGCGGGTATGACAGAGCAGGGCGAGGCTTCCATAGCCGTGGGTCATTTATGTGCAACAGACAACCAGGGTAAGCGCGCGATTGCAATCGGACAGTCTTCGGGTCGGGTTGAACAGGGTGGAAGTTCGATAGCCATCGGATTCGAGGCCTCTGTCATTGCACAGGGTGCGAGCTCGATTGCAATTGGGGCTGGTGCTGGCAAATTAACGCAGGGATCTTCTTCCGTGGCCTTTGGGGTTAATACCGGTGAAACGACACAGGGCAATGCTTGTGTGGCAATTGGGCATTCTGCCGGGCTAACGATTCAGGGAGAGGGATCGGTTGCCATTTGAGCAGGTTCCGGAACGACGAACCAGTCCAGTACTGCGGTAGCGGTTGGCCAAGGTTCCGGACAGAAAGACCAGTCGGTGAACGGTGTGGCGGTTGGATTCAAAGCAGGGTATGAGTCACAGGGCACACATGCCGTGGCTGTCGGGGCAACGGCGGGTGAAACAGAGCAGGGTGATGCTTCCATAGCCGTGGGTCACTTATGTGCAACAGACAACCAGGGTAGGCAGGCGATTGCAATCGGACGGTCTGCGGGTCGGAATGGACAGGGTGATAATTCGGTAGCCATCGGAGTCGATGCCTGTATCAATGCACAGGGTACGAACTCGGTTGCGGTTGGTATGGATTCCGGCCAAACGACACAGGGTGCGAACTCCGTGGCGGTTGGCGTGAATGCTGGTAAGGACGAACAAGGGGAGAATTGTGTCGCAATTGGGGCATCCGCTGGACGATTCCCCCAGGGACACGGTTCGGTGGCCATCGGGGCGTATGCGTGCGCGGAGGCTTCAGCGGAGCACTCGATTACACTGAATGCAACGGAAAATCAACTAAACAACAATGTGGTGGACTCGTTCATGGTCAAGCCGATCCGCAACGCCGCGAGTCCCAACGCGCTGACGTACAACCCCGCAACTGGCGAGATCACGTACACAACCTCGTCATCCAAGACCAAGGAAAACATTATCGACATGTCTCGCGACGCCTGTGGTATCCTGTGTGGCTTGGACGTCAAGGAGTTCAACTATATCAACAAGTGCAAATATATTGAAGAGGGCACACCCGAAGAGGCCAAGTCGTTTGTCAACTGGCTGGTCACTGAGAAGGCTACGGACACGTGGGTGTCAAGACTGGCGGCTAGGGGTGGGTCGGATGCAGGATTTGACGGTGTGGCTGATGAAGACAACCCCTCAATCCGCGAAATGTACAATGACTACGTCGAACGTACTGAAGTTGTCCCTTGCACATTCGTCGACAAGGAGGAGATACACTTTGGATTTATGGCCGAGGATGTGCAACAGGTGTCACCGGAGCTAGTATACGAGGATGGTGACGGTGCGGCGCTGGATATTAAGTGGAACAACATTACAGCCCTACTGGTCAAGGAGAACCAAACACTACGCGCCGAGCAAGCCGCTGCACAGACAACAATTTCTTCAGCCCTAACAACAATTGCCGACCTTGTCCAGCAAACCCAGCAGCTCACAGAGAGGCTGGTAGTTGTGGAAGACCAGCTCGTCAGGGACCAATAGAAATTGTACCATCTACCTATTGGACATGTGGCGTTCAAGCATACGCATAGGCGACATATTCCTGAGATCTTCACCAAGAAGTGGGCACTCGTCCGGATTATGTGTACAAATGTGTGTGTGTACATGTACAATTATATCATATGTATATATATCTATATAATGAAAATATACAATCTTTAATAAATAAAAACATTATTATGAGCGGGAAAACAATATTCTTCATCATTGTCGGACTGTTTCTGTTTGGGACATTGATTATCGTTGGATTGCAGTACAGCACGTTGGCGGTTACGTCCGCTGCAAACGCAGAAAACCTAAACAAATCGCCCGAATCTTCGGCAGACGATACAACGTCTGCTTAACTTGGTCCATGTATCGGGGTCGATACATGGACCTCGCAGCTTGAAACCTTTTCATTGCCAAATAATGTATAT